TCAGAGAATGACAGTGTGGAAGCAACCTGCCGTATATCATTGGCAAAAACACTAAAAACTTCCTTAACCTCTGAAACCTCATTGCAAGCCAAGTCATTTGTCCCTAGATGGACAAGTACATCCAATTCCCTTCCTGCTTTGCTTGCTTAACAATATTACAGATACGTCTCCTGTCTCTGTGAGCAGTAGCTCCGGGAAGACACCTCACAAGACCACCATTGTCCATCTCCACACCTCTTTTGATCAAATCCCCCAACAACAACTGCTTTCTATTAGGCCTCACCATAGTCTCCAAGCTTGTCTCCACAACATCACTAGCCTCAGTGCCTCTCTCCACAACACCACTAGCCTCGGTGCCTCTCTCCACAAAACCACTAGCCTCAGTGCCTCTCTCCACAAAACCACTCGCCTCAGTGCCTCTCTCCACAACACCACTAGCCTCAGTGCCTCTCTCCACAACACCACTAGCCTCAGTGCCTCTCTCCACAACACCATTACACTCTGAAAGTGCAGAATATGAATTATGTAGAGAAACAGACTGTGCAAAATGCCTTTTATCCACAACTCTAAGTCTACCAGATCCTACAGTAATCCATCTGCCTTTCCTAGTATGTCTCTGCAGCAGTGGCCTTGCAGCAGTTCCAGCCTGAGTTTGTTCACCAGATAATTTACAAATCTCAGACTTCAAAAATACAATCTCCTGCCGCAAGATAGAGAACTGTCTACAGATTAGACAACAACCAAACCTCCAAAAAGTAGAACGTGAAACAAATGCATAGCAATTATTACACTGAACTAAGTCTGCCATTCCAATGAGGAAAATAATTTAACTCAAACTAATCTCAACTTTTTTCTTATTTCCTCCTGAATACATCAGATTACCTCCAGTTTATCTCCAGAATATCTCCAACTACACACTTAGAAGCAACACTCTCCAGAATATCTCCAACTACACACTTAGAAGCAACACTCTCCAGAATATCTCCAACTACACACTTAGAAGTAACACTCTCCAGAATATCTCCAACTACACACTTAGAAGCAACACTCTCCAGAATATCTCCAACTACACACTTAGAAGCAACACTTAGATTAGCCAAACTAATGACAACAAGCCTTATATAACTCCTAAAGTCACCACCCACTAGGAATGTTTAACACCTGGGTAGGCCTCTGCTTATTTGCAAACAATAGCTAATTAACCAGCAATCAATAGCAAGTAACTAGCTTTAATCAAATCAAATGCCTTATAATTACCAACAGGAATTCAAACCTTGTGCAATCAGTAACCTTTTCCTACAGATGAATCTTACCTGTAACAGTAGAAAAGAAAGCTCTTAGCACAACTCTTAGACAGTTGAAGCTTCTGTAAAACTCTCCAGAATATCTCCAACTACACACTTAGAAACAGCACTTAGGTGATGCAACCAAGCTTATAGAGGAAAGTCCTGAAAGGTGAAGTTTAATAAGTTGAAAGAACAATCACACTAACTCGAGTAAAACTTTTCGTGGTTATGGACGAGAAATATTAGTAAACCACAAAAACGTGAAGCAATATATGCAGACTCGGCCGGCAATGCAGGGAATACATTTAAACCCTTGAGATTGTTGGGAATACTGAATATAGATTTGTTGTGACGTAGAGCTGAGTCAGTATGTAATTAAATAGAGAGGGCCAGAGCGGATTCTAAACTGCATGATTGGAATGATAATATTCAATGTCACTCACTCAGAATGCATTAACACCTGAAATAGAAACACAGCCACATTTGTGCTTTCACTACAGATAGATTTACTGCCATCTAGTGGCTTGATGTGAGATAGATGCACAGCATATATATAAACAGTCTAAGAAAAATCCCAGCATTGATGGGCATGTCACAGGAACATGCAGGGGCGATGCACGGATTTTTGCAGCACTAGGCAAAAAAGAAATTGCCGCCCTATTCGCTCCATAGTGGTCCTAGAAGTTTAACCCCACAAGATAAAACATTGCCTTACCTTGAAGGATTAAACAAGCCTCTAGTAGCTGTCACACTGACAGCCACTAAAGACACATCCGCTACAATGTCATGTTTAACTACGAGAAGCACTGGAAGTGCATAGCGCATCAGGTCCACAATGCTCCTGTATGGACATTGGATTGGGCCAGTGTTGCTCCATCAGTGACATTGAGCGAGGAATAGAGGCAATCAGTGCAGAGGGAGTATTGGTGCTTGATAAATGTATGTAACTCTCCCACCTACTTTTTAAAAAAAATATATATATTTTTTATGGTGGGGGGGGGGAGCTTGAATCTATGTAGGGACAGAGACATTATAGTATTCAAAATACAGGTTTATATTCCTAACACTGTAGTGTTTCTTTAAAAGTATTGTTTTTTATTTTTTATTTTTTGCCCAAATACAATCACTGATACTACATACATATACACTCACACCCACTCATTCACTCACACTCAATGGTCCACACAATCACAATCAGTGACCAATGCACACACAAATTAGCTGACTCACACAGAGTGACACACACACTGACTCAAGCAGACATACACTGACACACACACACTGGCACAAGCATACACACACACACACACACACACACACTGACTGATGCAGATGGACACACACAGACCCAATCAGACACACACATTGATCCAGGCACACACAGACCAAAGCAGACACACACAGATCCAAACAGACTCACACACAGACCCAAACAGACACACACACAGACCCAAGTATACACACATAAAATACTAATCCAGAACATGCTGATCCAAAAGCACTGACCTAAGCAGACTCACACACATTGATCCAGACAGGGCCGCCATCAGGGGGTGACAACCATGATGGTTGTCACGGGCTGCTCTGGCAGTCCCGGGCCCCACTTTCCCTCTCTGCACACATAGATAGCGAATATCGCTATCTATGTGTGCAGCCGCGGGCCCCCTGCTCCCTGTTACCACAGAGGGGGCCCAGCACACTGCTTCTACTCTTCACTTCTAATAACTCTCGCGAGACCCGGTTACCATGGCAACGCTCCGCGGGTCTCGCAAGAGTTATTAGAAGAGAAGAGTAGAAGCTGTGTGCTGGGCCCCCTCTGCAAGTACAGGGAGTCGGGGGCCCCCCATGCCACCGGACCACCAGGGAATTGAATCTCCCCCCTCCCTGGACACAGGTAAGAAGCAGGGAGGGGGGAGAAACATTTAATGAAATTTAATATACACTAACACAACACGCACTCTGCATACACTAACACAACACACACTCTGCATACACTAACACAACAGGCACATTGCATACACTGACACAACACACACACTGCATACACTAACACAACACGCAATCTGCATACACTAACACAACACACACACTGCATACACTAACACAACACACACTCTGCATACACTAACACAACACACACTGCATGCACTAATACAACATACACTAACACAACACACACACTGCATACACTAATACAACACACACTCTGCATACACTAACAACACACACTATGCATACACTAACACAACACACACTGCATACACTAATACAACATACACTCTGCATACACTAACACAACACACACTGCATACACTAATACAACATACACACTGCATACACTACACACTAACACACTGCATACACTACACTGACACACACTCTGCATTCGCTACACATTAACACACTCTCTGCATTCACTACACATTAACACACTCTGCATTCACTACACTAACACAAACTCTGCATCCGCTACACACTAACACACTCTCTGCATTCACTACACATTAAGACACACTCTGCATTCACTACACATTTACACACACTCTGCATTCACTGCACTAACACACACACTACATTCATTACACTGACACACTCTGCATTCACTACACACTAACACACACCCTGCATTCACTAAACTATGCACACACTCTGGATCCACTTTACTGACACACACTCTGCATTCACTACACTAACCTACACTCTGCATTAACTGTACACACAGCATCCACTACACAAACATCCTGTATTCACAGTACACACACTACATCCACCCAAAAAATTGAAAAACTCTGCATTCACTATACACAGACACTGCGTCTAATACACACACTACATCCACTACAGACACTGCATCCACTAAACACATTTCATCTAGTACATACAAACACTACATCCACTACACAAACACACACTACATCACTGTACACACACTACATCCACTACTCAAACACACTCTGCGTTCACTATACACACTGCATCCGCTACACAAACACACACTCTGCATTCATTGCACAACCAGTATCTAATACACACAAACACTACATCCATTACACACATTCTAATTCACTTCCACTGTACACAACACATTCCATCCTGCATCATTGTCAGCGGACTAGGTAGGGCGTGGGCGGGCCCGGGAGCGAGGGGGGGGGGCAGACCTTGTGCTTTGTCAGGGGCCCCAAAATTTCTGATGGTGGTCCTGGATCCAGACACAAACACACACTGACCCAAGTAGACACACAAACATACTGACTGAAACAGGCTGACACACACACCATCAAGTCCCCCACTTGTCTTCATTTTAAATGGTCTCTCCGTGGGTCCCAGTCCAGGCCTTGCTCTACCCCCACTATCCTCCCGCCCACTTAACCCAGAGTACTGTCGCCATATGAGAGGTGTGTGAGAGGGCGGCTCTCTGATCTTTGTGGACTGAAGTTGAAGGCAGGGGGCACTAATCTGCAGCTATGTAAGTGCTCCCTAGCGCCCGGTGCCATGACCTGCAATAGCAATAGAACGTGTCCCACATAGTAGAGGGGCTTCTTAGGAAGTGTCGGCCCTGGGAATATGGTATATTTTATGACATATAAAA